TTTAGTTTGCTTATTTTTGATCCTTTTTGTGCAGATTATTTCTATTTATAGTAATTAGTTTGCTTATTTTTGACTTTTTTGCAGATTCTTTTAAATTTAGTAATTTTTGTAAAACCTTACACCTTTATATATATTTTGGGGTCCTGTAAAAGGTATATTAATATGAATCTTATATAGGTCTTCTACAGAATCACTCATCGTATATCTAACTCTTATAGTTTTGCAAGAACTAGAAGTACTCTGATTAGATGTTAAAGTACTATCATTATCTAATCTTTTTAGATAAATAGGCTTATCTACCTGCCTACTTATATCATCTTTCTTATTAACTACCAAAAGTGCTTCTTTTAATAAGGTGGTGGCTGCATTTATGAGGTAGTAAACAACTAAACTATTGAAAATAAGATTAAGATGAAGTGGGTTGGTACTGTGATTCAATCTTTTTTATTGATATTTATATGAAACAAACATATTATAATTTAGATTATAAGTTCAACTTTACTCTGTAATTTTGCAGCATAAAACCTAATACAAAAACTAAAAGCAACTTGTTTTACCAGATCCCAGAAAACTAAAATTATTTTAACAAAAGTTTATAAAATATGAAAACAAGCTATAACTAAAAAGAATATATGAAAAAAAAAGAGAAAATGAACAATATAAAAAAAGAAAAAAAAAAGAAAAAAAATATTTTGTAGAAGGAGGATAAAAGTTTGAAGAGGATTTCATCTCTCTACATAACTGAAATGTATTATTATAACTTATATAAGGCTAAAAAATTATATAACAAATACAATGATTGCATATCTCTACTATAAAGCTTTGCCTTAATATATAATATTTTTTCTGACCTACAATTACTTTTGAATATCTCTTTAACTAGAGGTCCTGATTCAACTTCTCTGAAGTAGCACTATATTTGTAAATAAACATGTCACATGGTTGCATTCTACTAAGTTCATTCAAATTTAGAACTATTTTTTGGAGAAGATATGCCAAATCTCTTACTTTTTACAAAAATTTTAGAAGATCAATAGAAAAATGAAAGAAAGTGAGAGAGAAGCCACTTGACTAAGTAAAAAAAGTGCAGCTTTAGAAAGATATATATTTTTAATATATTTTTTTGAAATAACAATCTAATAGCTTTGTTAAAAAAGTTGGGCTTTGTCTATATTTCACTAAGATTTTTTATACAAGTATGCTACTTGCTAGTTATTTTATATAATAATACTCTTGGCTTGTATGTTAAAGTCTTTTTAAAGAAGTCTTGCAACAAGAAATATTGACCTCTAGACAAACTACTAAGTAGACTATGACTCTCTACAAAAATTTAATCATATCAACTAATTTGAGTTTTTAGATATTTTTTTTGATAAACTATTATACAAAAATTTACTTCTAAGTAATGTTAAATACTAACAAATGAAGCACTTGTTACAACTAATAAAAAGCTTTCTTGATGTCTATACAAGTTAAAAAACTAATAAAACCTAATAAAAGAGCTATGCTAAACTGTAAAAAGAAGTACTTTTACTATTTGTTAAAATACTTAGATGTTTTAGAATAGGTTGGTTATTGTTTGATAGGTTGGTAACTAGGGCTCTGCAAATGCCTGTGCCTGGCACATTGGCACCAGGCCGAGCACAGGTACCTTATGCCATGCCAGCATAAAAGGGCATAAAATACTAGGCACATTAAAGGTATAAGCACAAAGTGCCAGGCACTGACAAAAGTATAGGCACAAAGTGCTAGATACAAGGTGCCAAAACAGTGTCAGGCACAATGCTGAGCACAAGTGCCAGACACAATTAAATAATAAATATCAAATTTCTGTGCCTATGCATATGCCTATGCCAAACTTTTGTGCTTATGCCCAGGTCTATGCCAAAATATTAATATCTGTGCTTATGCCTATGCCTAAGTTTTTTCAAAGTTTCATACCATATCTATGCTCATATTTTTTTTGGGCACAGGCAGTGCCTGGTTTGCAGAGCCCTATTGGTAACTATCAAGGATAATTCAGAAGCTAATTTTTAAAAAAATAGCCTTTTTAATCTACTTTTGGCTTATAATTAAATATATTGGAAAAATAAAAACTATAGTACTTGGTTATTTTCTATTTTTTAAAAAATTTAAATAATTTTTTATACAATCTATATTTATCTAAGTCAACTAATTTTAATTTATACAGGTTAGAAAATTAGAACACTAATACTTTAACACAAATTTTTGTTTTTCTTTAATTGGAATTGTAGTCTAAGTAATTATTAGAAAAAGTAGTGATTTTTTTTTTACTAATAATATTATTTATAATATCTAATATAGTAAATTACAAAACTAATTAAAATCAAAAATAATATTTACTCTTCCTAATGATCATTTGGATCAAAATTTTTACTGAAGAAAAACAGAACTTTTGTTAGAGAGGTGTGGCCTAATGTAGCGGTTTGCTTAAAGATTAATAGTTTTACTCTTCTGGAACTTCTTTATAAGTTGTGTGTTTGACGTGCAAGCCAAAAGCATTAGTATACAAGATAACTAGCAGAAGGTGTGCACTCTTAAATACAAAATTTTAGTAAAAAGACAATAGTCTTTCTGTTGATGAAGTTACTTAGGCTATTACTTCCAGAAGAAGAATACAGGAAAAAAAAAGACTCTGCTTTTTCTCAAGCCATGCTTTTTTACTTGACCAAGTGGTCCCTCTTTTACTTCTACTTGCCCTCCTGTTGATTTTCCAAAAAATTTTAACAAAAAGGAAGATTTGGCTTACTCTCTCCAAAAGATCAGCATTATTTATTTACCAAATTCAGACAGGTTAGTGGAATGCAACTACATGTTTGTTTACAGATAAATATGTTACTACTTCAAAGAACTCGGTCTAAAAACTCTAATTATAGCAGCAGGTGGCTTGAGACACAGGTTCTCAAATAATGGCAATACCTAGCTTGAGATACAAATTAGAACAGGCAATAAAGCTATCCAGAGTTGGTAGGAAGGTTGAAAAGTAGATTCATGTTAAGGCAAAGCTTTATAGTAGAGATATAGAAGGGAAAGTTTAACAGTCATAAATAGGCCATACAATAGCCAGTGAAGTATTAAGAAAGTATTTTTATAGTATTAAATTCTTAAAAAGTTTTTGAATCCTGAGAAAAGCGAACAGTTGTTATAACAGGTCAACTGGGCAATATGCTTGGGTAGCTTTTATTGGATAGAACTATATTTATAAAAAAATTGTTGTATTTATTTATAATAGTTTACATGAAATTTACATAAATAAAGGCATGACTGTTTAAAAAAAAAAAACTAATTAAAAAAGATTAAATAAAAAAATGTAAACTTAATTAACAAAAACTACAAACTTTATAATATAGATAAAATCTTTAATTTTTTATTTAAATTTTTAATAAAATTTATAAAGTATATTTTAAAAAAGTATTGCTAACTTGCTTTTTCTGGTTATATAACTACTCCCTTTATGCTATCTTAAAAACTAGACTAAATAACTATATTTAATATATTAAATAAAAATGTTCAGCATCTTAAAAACCTCATACTCGCTTTAATTCTAATCTTAAACCTAATCTTTATACTAATTTAATTTTAATTTTAAATTTTAAACCCAAAAATTTATAATAAAAATTGATAATAAATTATAGATGTTTAAAATTTATAATTTTAACCACGGGGCAAATTAGTTAAAAATATTTTATAAACTATACCCTATATAATATTATTAATAAATTTTTATTTTATTTAAAAATTTAAATTTTTAAACAATTTTGCTTAAAAAACAAAAATTATTTTTTTTAATTATTCTAATATAATTTTTTTTTTAACATAAATAATATTATTTAAATTTATATTACTATTAGCATATTTATAAAATTGCAAAAAAAAATAATAATACTGTAATAATTTATAAAAAAAAATTTCATTAATTAATAGATAATAAAACTTTTCTAATAATAAAATAAAATCCTTTTTATATCTATTATCTTCGAATATTATTAAAAATTATATAATTGCTAACCTTAGATGATTTATAATTGTAATTCTTTTTTGTGCATAATTACTTCATTAAATAATAATTGCTGCCAAATACGTAAATAAAATTATTTTCAATAGGGAATAAACTAACAATAGATTATAAAATCATAGATATTATTTTACTGCATATAAAAAAATTTCTATTTTCTCATTTATATATTCATGGAAAAATTGCTTTGCGTTTGGGAAACAATTTTTATGTATAAATAGGCATACCGATACGTATATTTGCTGATATTTATAATTTATTCAAATCTTAAAATTCATATTATACTTGTTAGCGGAATTACTGGAAAAATTACACTAACTATATATGCTGTACAGTTATATGATAAATCGATCATTTGATAACGAAATGCACAGTGTAATGCGCAGGAAAATATACTGTAATTCGTGCAAAATTACAGTATTACAGTAAATAAAAGGATTAGTTTCATTTATCCTATTTACAATAAAGGTTAAATCATGCAGGTAATACTGTAATAGGTTAAACATTATGAAAATGTATCGAAGATCAATCTTCAAATCTATTTATTATAGATATCTACATGTGAATATATAAATCAAAATTATATGTTTATACTAGGAATTTCTTTACTATATATAGATAAGCAAGAATATTCTAAACGGAAAAATGGATCATACATAAACTATTCACAAGTAAGGAGTAAGATTTAAGGATTTCTCTTGGCATACCGACTCGAAGATCCTATTACACATCGATATAATTGATATTGCTTGATGACTATTTTTTCATTCTAAAATTCTTTATTATGCGTACCATGGGTCGATCATATTGTCTTGTGACCTCAATGATGCTGTCATCAATGAGCATGTTTTGTAATGAAACTGAAAAAAAATACGTAACAAACATACGTATATGCCTTTCTAAGGGGAAAGTTATTCTGCATTTGTTTTTTATGAAAGAAGATCATAGGTTATCACTCGAAATTATGACAAATGCAGGTAAATTTTGAGATTATTAATAAATTTATAGAACTGGTAAATGTTAAAGTGATCCCTAATAAATTTAGATATATAAGAAGCTTCACGATACCATGCCATCTGCTAAATTTTTATTTTGTGAAAGAAATCACTCGGGAAGAAAGCTACTTGCTATTGAAAATTGAAAAACACGATTTATTTTTGTTAGAAAACAAAGTTTATCTATATTTAAAAGATGGAATTAAACGCAGGTTCTCAATATCCTCCCTGTCCGCAATGCAATCAACCGAAAACACTATATCACTGGTGTCCAAAACGTAAAAATCATAGAGTGACCGAAAAAGAATTAACACAAGAAGCGTGGACAAGTGGAAATGAAATTGTTGATGAGTTTATTAGAGAAGTTCAAGAAAATGCGGCAAATAAATACGAATCCTTGAAATGGATACCGTATGCTCAACTTTCGAACATTAAGGTTTTGGCCAAAGGAGGTCATGGAACTATTCATACAGCAGTTTGGACAAATGAGTTTGGAACCACAAATGTTGTGCTCAAGAGGCTTAATAACTCTAAAGAGATTTCCGCTGAGTTTTTCCATGAGGTATATATATACACGTCTATTAACGCTGAATGATGACTCATTTTTATAATATATAATAAATAATAATCAAAATTTTTTTTTATTTTCCAGCTAGCAGCATATATGAAGTGTAGCTCGATTACGGCTGTACGAAACTATGTCATTAAAGCTTATGGGATAACTAAAGATTCGACTACCGATGAGTTCATGATGGTCACGCAACATGCAGAATTGGGTGATTTACGAACTTTTTGTACCAATTATAGCGACGCTCAAGATAATACTTGGTGGAGCGAAACAATTATTGAGATAATGTTCGGTATCATTAAAGGTCTTGCTACTATTCATAAATCTGGATTAGTTCACGGAGATTTACATTCTGGAAATATATTGATACATGGTCAAGCATTTAGCTCTAAAAGATATTCTTGCATTTGTGATCTTGGATTATGTCAACCGGCGGAGCATACTTCGGGAGCCTTGGAAGGAATTCATGGTGTTATTCCATATATGGCACCTGAAGTGTTATGCGGAAAGCCTTATACTAAGGCTTCTGATGTTTATAGTTTTGGAATGTTAATGTGGGAATTATCATCAAAGAGACGACCTTTTTGTGATCGTGCACACGATGAAAAATTAGTTATCGAAGTTTTACGTGGTGAACGTCCTGAAATCCTTGCTCACATGCCAGAACCTTATGTAAAATTGATGACTCGTTGTTGGGATTCTGATCCTTCAAAACGTCCAACTGCTATTGAAATTGGTGATATTATTGATTTTTGGAAAAAATGGTGTCTCACCACAACATTAAAAGTTAACGAGGATTTGTTAGAGAAATTTAAAGATGAGAAAAAGAAAATGACCCATCCTAAAGCTATTTATACCAGTAGATACCTTCGTTATCAAAAAATTGGTGAATACCTTGATTTATGGGAACTTCAAGGTATGCATAATTATTATATTGTCATAACTATACGCATCTATATATATATTCGATATATATTTTTTTTAACGTTAATTTCCTTTATTTTTTTTAGAAGATACACGTGAAAATAAAGATCTTCTTGGACCACAACCATGGGTTAAAAAAGATTTAAAAGGTATGTGATACTTGTAATACATAAATTATGTGTGTATATTTTTTAATAATAAAGAACGCGACTTAAAAAATAAAAAATATTGCTACAATAGACTTCGGTATGATAGCTCTTCCACCAGTAACTGAATCTCAAAATGCTTAGTGCTAATGGTGTTAGCTTAGTAGGTAAATTTTATTTTTATTTGTACGTATAACGTTGATATGAATAATAATAAATTTAATAAATCTTTATTTTTTCATTCACGTACAGTACAGTACATACAGGATAAAACTATATCATCGAATAAAATGCTGGCATTTACATTCGAGTTATTTAATATTTATAACATATAATTCCCAAAATTTACAATACATTCATAGTCATGTAGTCATATAGCATTTAAATATTCATTTATTTCATTAATGCATCAAATCTTGTTTTGTCTTGTTATATATTAATCTTGTTACATATTATGTAATTACTAGTATATTAAAGTACTTCTGTAATTTTCATTATTACTGTGTTAACTGCAAAGAAACAAAATTTCTAACTTTATTTATTGCACCCAATTGAAAAAAATCGTTAAATGTACGTAAATACGTACTTTGAACCAAGTTCCAATAATCGATTGGATTCGAATTTTCGAATTTTTAAATCAGAAAACAGGTTCAAATCTCTTTTTTTTAACTCGTCCAGTTTTAACGAATTCAGTAACGATAGAAAGAATTATTGATAACAGATAAATGGATTCGTTAATTCGTAAGCTTATGCATTATAGTTACAATTATTTTCAAAATCGTAGTATAGTAGTATAGTGATAGTATATGCGCGTAATCTATATATTGGTAATCTTTGATATTCAAAAATGGATACAGTATCGTTATTGGTGTATCATTGCACGATTGTCACAATAGATACACTCAAACCTGTAAATCATTATCGTTATTGTTGTAAACAAAAGTAACAAGTCAAAATTTCGCGTAACATTATAATATTGTTTCGCATTTTTTTTATGCAGGTTCATACCAGATTTAATTTTGGCCGACATTATTACCGGTTTATGCCTGTTCTAGAATTTGGCACGATTTTGTTTCAAACTTATACATATTACAGTAATAATATTAATTGCAAGTTTTTTTTTTTTTTTTTAAAGTGTATCGGTAATATTAAATTTGAGAATATTAACAAAAATTTTCTATATCGCCAATCAATTTTTCACGTGTTTTATACTGGGGATACTGATATTCTCTCCGAGAATTTTAGAGATCTCTAAAAATTACTTTTATTCAGAGTAGTATGTTAACCTTTTAGCATAATATTATATATGGAGTACTTTTCAAGATAAAGAATAGTATGTGTATATCTGTTGTTATACAAGGGGAGTACTTTTTAGGGGGTACTGTATGAACGCTATACGATAATAATATTTTAACACTAACCGCATATGACATATGCTACCTAAATTAAAGTGCCTGACCTTAATTATTACTAAAAAAAGTAAAGTTTCGTGAGACTGTAAATATTTGAAATTCGTGACAAAAATTGACAAAACAGTACGATACATGTACCAAACAATTTTATTTATTGAAATTTCACATATTTGAGCTTGGAGTTTAATGATAGAGGTAAGTTCAGGTTAAGGATAGGATCGGGTATACCGTAGATTACTCAATGGATTATATATACTGTATATACTGTATATATCGCATCTTAAATGTTAATCTTTAAAATTTTTGCAGGGGTATACATTGTCTGATAAATAAGGCAAGTAATAACTTAACATTAAATTATCGTAAACATACATATTTTTAACGTAAACGATAATAATTGATTGAAAATTAATCAATTTGTGGCTTTATTTGATGACAACTATATGGCGTATGGTGGCTGTCATAGTAATCATATTATACTCACTGAATAATAGTTTATTTCATTGTTATTACTATACATAGTTAGTTATCCGATTAGATAAATCTTACCTAAGATCTTACAATCTTATATGTCGATTGGTCCACAACAGGTTTTCTTGAAGAGAATGAAGAGAATGACATTTTACATATATAGTAAGTCTATATTATGGCGATTGAACTTGCACATGAATATATCGATATCAAAAATATACCACACAGGTACGTACGTACTTACGTACTAATTGTTCAATATTATCAACATAAAAAAAAACATACTGGTGAAAATGGTCGGTTTAATGAATTTCTTTAGAAATAACGATAAGATGAATAATGATACCTTTAAAAAAAGAGAGACAAATATTTCTAATGTTTGCTGAGGATCTTGACATCGAATCTTTTGGGTAATAAATAAATATATATAACGATAATTAGTCAGCTTGTTTTTTTTTTGTACGTAAGAGTATGGTAATACAAAGATATATTTCACTCCGAAGAAAGCATAAAATAGTATTGATCTTCTACCTAATGGTAAATCAATTTATTTTTTGTTACCTGAAAAAGAATTCTTTCATAATTTTGTTACATCGATCATAACATGTACGATCTAAACAATGCTAGCATTATCATATGCTTTAATCTTAAAACATATCTTAGTATATAGTTAAATAAATACGACATACTTGATACGTAAGCACGTACGTAAGTACGTGTGTTTACCTTGTTAATTTCAAATTTACCGTGTTTTCATTTACGTGATTAAAACTCATTGTACTAGTATTAACTTTTAACGAAGCCTAATAATTAATATGACTACTTATTTATTAACGTTCAATTCAAGCAAATAGAAATAAGCCATGAAATTTTAGCTTACTAATCCAATGAAAATAATCCAACGACGATGTAATTTTTGCAATGTCTTCGCGTCTTTTCTTTCAGCGGTAGTATAAATTTTAACGTTGATGGAGTTTACGTTTAGGTTAATCTAAGTATAGACCACCAATGACGGTAAGCCACATCAAACCGTATTCTATGTTAAGCCACACGGGCTTTGTTGCTTGCTATATATTTCAAGTATTTCAAGTAGTTTCGTGTGCGTATTATCGTATACGTAAACGTTTGCGCTTTTTTTTGCTATGAGTCTGTACGTATCTGGTATGTACGTACGTAGGTGAAACGCTGTTTAATCATCACTGCGCCACTTTGGTGACTTTCGTTAGTACACATAACCAACGTTGGTGAATTTTTGATTAAATTAAACGTTGTCATAATTTTGTATGATTTTCGTAATCCTTTAAAAATTATTTGTGAAACTCGAGTCTTGATTATTTATTTAGTTAAAAGATTCGCTATGCTTTTCATGCTTTTGAGGCTTATCCAAAAAAATGATATTATTCGGTGAAAAAACATGATTTGATTCAAGCAATCACAACTTTTTAATTTCAATTACAATTTCAATTTTTTTTTTTAATATTTTTTTTTTTTAATTTTAATTTTTATTATTATTATTAATTTTTATTGTTTTTTTATTTTTTTTTTTATTTTGTTTTTACCTGAAAGTGTCAATTTTCTTTTCAATTTCCTTTCTTTGATTTCTTTGATAATTCGAGTTTGACGGTTATGCTAATAAAAGTAATTTTACAATGATTCTTAATGATTTTATCACATTTTTAAGAAATATCAAATATTTTTTTATACTTTATATACTGATAACGACGACACCAAGATTTTCAATAGCAATTTGTGAGTCTAATCAATCTGAACAACCTTTATGCAGTGGGCGTCGTGGTCTTAGATCTACTTTGAGGAAGAGGTCAAATAAAAAAAACAAGAGATCAATAATTCAAAATAGACAAGATAATGAAACTTTTACCAACCTAACAACAAATCAAGTAATTAGTGATGGGATAAATTCAGGGCAAAACTCTATCTGTAATGGTCTCTGTGTTTTAGGAATTATGGTTGGAGCAGTTGTTATAATCATATTAATCGGTTTCGGTTTGTGTTTATCGATGAGAAAAAGAAAGAAAGTGGGTGATAAAGAAATCCGTCCCAGTTTAAAACGTATGATATCTAGTACACAAACTGCTGATGATTTCCCCAAAATATCACCTAGTACACCACCATTTGAATCTAGATTAAATGATGAAGCTGAAGCATTTGCACAAGAACATCCACCACAAGAAGAAATTCCACCACCTGAACATATTGTATATATTCAGAGTCTTGGAGGTGCAAAAGCTTGGGAATGGTCACCTGATGAAAATTTGTTAATACAACAATTCGTTTCGATAACCAACGAAGGAGTTATCGTAACTTTTAATAAAAGAGTGGATTGTATGGTACAAACGAATTACCCATTCTTTATACCACAAACGGAAGGGGATACACTTTATGAACCACCGTTCGAACAACCTGAAACCATGGAATTAAGACGTGGACAAATGTTACATTATTTCGAAATTACCGTTTTATCAAATCCTGAAGGAAAAAATACCACTATAGCGATCGGACTTGCGACTAAACCATATCCTTACTTTAGGTATTTATAGATTATTTAATTAAATTGGTAGTTAGTATTCGTTCATTCATCATTTATTGATGTTTAACGTATTTGACATTTTTAATAATGATTTACAGATTACCAGGATGGAATATATTTTCAGTGGGCTATCATTCAAGTGATGGACGAAAATTCAATGATGCACCTAGTGGTAGAGAATATGGACCTACATGGGGAGAAGTGGGAGATACAATAGGTTGTGGTTATAATCCAGATGTTGGATACGTATTTTTTACGAAAAATGGGCAATTCTTAGGTAATGCTTTCACGAGTATACGTCATATATGGTTTCCAACGATAGGGGCTAATGGACCATGTATTATTGAAACAAATTTTGGGGATAATTATGACAAAGGATTTAAATATGAAAGTGCACGTGGGTATGGACCTGGTGGACCTCTATTAATTTCCGAAAAAAGAAGGCCAAGGCCCAGTCGTAGTAGTAGTACAAGAAGCATTCATGCTGTAGATACTGGTAGTCCTCGTATTAGATATGATTAATAGATTAATACGATTAATACGATTAATTTTTTTTTTTTTTCTCGTTTATTTTGGTGGGAATCTCTTTGGTGGCTTTAAATATTAACATGGTAAATGAATAGCAATTTGTAATTTGTAGATAAATAATAAAAGGAAATACCGTTTGTGTAAAAATTCACTATTAATCTAAATATATGTTGTAAATGGGAACTGAGCTTGTTAAATTTAGGATTTATTTAGATTAGCCTATAGTACCCTGATCCCGATCCAGACCGAACACGAAGCCTAACCCTAATCGTAACTTTAACCTTAATTTAACTTAACCCCTTGACGTTGAATTTAAATTTAATTAAAATATCAAATTCACTAAATTCACTAAATTCACTAAATTCACTAAATCCACTAAATCCACTAAATTCACTAAATTCACTAAATTCACTAAATTTACTAAATTCACTAAACGTTAAATTTCGTTCCCACGTACGTACTTACAACATACTGAACATACTGAATTATTTGGAAAAAAGGCATAGAATTGTGTGAAAGTTAATACTTTTATGTAACATATCTGACATAGTGAATAAATATTATATATGTTTGATAAATATATGTTGGGTAAAATTTTAAACCCTGCATTCTTTTCTCGCTGTAATTATGTATTAGCATGAGTAAATTTCTAAATAATAATTAACTTGGACATCCTTAAAAGCGCGATAAATGTATAAAAAGGGAATAGGTCTTTTTAGTTGGCTGTGGGACCCAGTTTACATGATACAGGCATTAAAAAATTCGGGTATCGGTATACAAAAAATGATATTCGAAACTTAGAATTTTCAAAGCATGTAACAATGTGTATTACATATCCATTGAGTAATGATTGGTTCAATAAATAAATTACAAATATATTATTTAATCACATGGACAAATAGTGGAAAGAATTTTCTTCTGATTTTCTTTACTTCTGCTAATTACCGTACCATTACTTATTAATAAAAAATCCATGTGGCTTTTTTCCAGGTCGATCTAAAGAACGTTTATTCTATTTAAAAAGTGTTACTTGAAAAAAAAGTCGAGTTTCACCTTTATTCGATGACGTTTCCTACCTTTCTTCTTTATGAATTTCTTTTGGATTTTCATAACGATAGAAAAACGCTCTATACTTGCGCATTAGTGAATCGAGAATGGTGTAGAATAACGATTCCTCTTCTCTGGAGGAATCCCATAAAACTATTACATGGACCTGATGATTATTATCCATATCATAGATATAGAAATAATCATGTAAAACTTGTTGACACATATTTATCGTATCTTAATAACGAAGAAAGAGCCAAGCTTATTAAAAATGGGTTCAAACTACCGTTAAGAAGTAACCCTCCAATCTTTTATTATATTTCTTTTCTAAGATACGTTTCAAATGGAGATATTCAAATGATTAGTTTATTTTGGTGTTTATACTTTGATGCTAGTAAGATACCTGTTATAAATCCTTTAAATTCTTTTAGTAATAAACGAAGGATAAAAATTGTTTCTAGTTTATGGAATTTAGTGCGAGATATATTTGAGATGTTTAACAGGAAACAACGACCAATAACGACAGAAATCACTCAAGTAGCTCATGCTTCAGTAGTTCCTCCTGTAGGTGATGACTTTTATACAACAGATGTATTATTGAAATCTGAAATAATACATCATACTCTCACAAAGTTGATTATAGAGCAATGCCCTAATATTAAACATTTACAATCAACGTCAACGCTTATCGGTTCAAGTTCTAACAACAATTACACGGAAATAATTTTAAAATATCCAAGACTTCATGAATGTTTTACTCATTTGAAAAGTTTTGAAAGTCGAAGTAATTTCTACAGAGGAACTTCATTTGATATACTATCTGAAATTTGTCATGAATTGCGTAAGATTGAAGTTTCTTCATGTAATCCAACGCATTTATCAACTGTTGGTGAAAATAAAGAAAATCCAGCAATAATAGAGTCACAAAAATTATCAAATCTTATTAAAGTTCAAAGATGCTTACGAGAATTTATACTTTGGAATTGTAAGTTAGGAATTTTAGATATCATCAATTCTTTAATATCAACTCAACAATATTCGATGCGTACACTTTCTTTTCATCATTGTGATTTTCAAAATATAATTTGGTTGCACGTTCTTTCTGAATTACCAAACTTGGAGACTCTAACATTTGATCAATGTATTAACGTTTCAGAACAAACATCATCAAAACTTGTTCTCTCTAATCTTAAATATTTGAAATATATTTATGGATATACTTCACCAAATGCGTTAATAACTTTAATAGAATCTACCAAAGATAGTATAGTAGAATTAGATACTGGCAAACCACATTTTAAGTTAAATCTTATAACTTTTGATCCAAGAAAATTTCAATTTTTAGAATCGGATCTTTTTAATCATTTGGAATTATTACATAATATAAGATTGTGTAAAAATTTAATCTCTTTATCAACTTATGTTTATTCAAATATTCAAGAAGATTTATTTACTACACTTATTAGTTTAGATCATCTAAAAAAATTGGTGATTACCGAGATTTCTTATTATTCATTGGAAACTAAGCAAAAATGTTTAATTTTTTCCGAATTTTTAACAAAATTAGCCAATCATTTACCATCAACTTTACAATGGTTACATATAGGAACCAAATTTGCAATAAGAAAGAATATATTAGAAGAATTTAAGAATAATACTTTATGTAAATTTAAAAAAATGACAATTTTTGGAGGATTAGATTGGGATATGGAAAATCAAAAAATAGAATTTGAAGGTGTTTATGATGAATTAAATATTGATGATATTAAAAATAGGTTGATTCCAAATTACGGAATTATATTTTCCGTATAATTTGGATAAATATAGTATTAAATCGAATAATGTTCTAGATTTTTACTAATAACAATAATGGATAAATGCCACCTTAATTTATATTTTATTTATTTTACCTAATTCGTAATTTATTTTTTTTTCATGTTTTTTTTTTCTTTTTTAAATAATAATATATATAAATAAAAATAATTTATAAATTTATAAATTACAAATTACAGCAGCGGTAGTGTGCGTGTACATAACTATAAATTACGTTAATAAGATTAATTTTAAAAATTATTGTGCATCATGCATAATGATAATATTAAGTATTGTTAGAAGTTGCAGATATATGCATTAAAGTTTCTCTTTGTTAAAAAAAGAAAAATTTGCTAGTGTGATTTTGATTAAAAATATAAATAATATAATATAAATGAATTCTTTTGAGAGCCCAGAAAGGATAAAATACTTTCGTAATAAGTAGAAATTACTTATCCATATTGCGATACTATTATAGTATCAAAGTAGGCCCAAATCCAGGCTCTTGGTCCGAATTTGTTTTTAATATCAGGTAACAAATGGATTAATATAAAGTTTGTTTTTGAATTCTCTTGTACGAGTCTATATCTACGTTTAGAAGTCTTTCTGGTTAGAAAAGGTATTTATGTACGTATGTGTGTAGTACTTTAATGAACATGCTTTATAAAATACCTTTATGAATGAATATCTTGATGAATTCGTAGGAGAAAGATTAGGTAAGTACCTCGATAAACACAAGCTTCGCTAAGAGTAGTAATATTGAGTAATATTATGAAACAATAATAATTCAGAATTTTAAATCTTTAATAAGAACAAATTAAGGTGAGCTTTAACGTTTAAATTGTTTAAATTGTTTAAATTACAGAATTATCAATATTATTGGTGCGTACCCAAGAAAATTCTTTTTATTCATATATGTGTACTCATGTTTATGGCTGAACCCAAATTATCCAAAGTTAGATTCCAAATAACGGGAATTTCTATTAATCGGATCTTTTCCATATAGAATCATCATCATTCCAATAATTAAGGTTTAAAAATGCTGTCTTACTAGTCACACTGCGCAACTGTCTTCCACTCCACACAAAAAAAAAAAAAAAAAAAAAAATAGAAAAAAAACCCCAGTTCATATTTCTGTGATTCTGTGTCGCTATCGCTTATTTACTGCACATAATTTTTGAACTACTGCAACATTACATTTTTCTTATCATATTGTGGCGCTGTCTGCTAGACCGTGTCCTTTTTGGAAAACCTTGTGTCACTATTTGCGCCAATTAGTATTTGATAAGAAAGAATTTGATTGATTCTTTTTTTGTTTTAGTTGGATTATACCCTTCCCAAACCGTTTATTATATTCACGTTCTTTTTTCTCTCTTTTTTTATTAGATTCTCGGTTAATTCTTTGATAATATTTTTATCTTGTTATATATTTTACATTCTTCTTTTCAATTAAAAGTTATCGAATGACTTCTTCCGTAACATGTCTCTCAAATTCTCAGATTCCTTCAAAAACACCTCTGTCGGATAATGCTTACATGATATGTGAGATAATTTCTCATTTATTTGAACAACAATCTGATCTGGTCTCTTGTTGTTTGGTGTCCCGTTTATGGAATACCTGTGCTACGCCTTGTCTTTGGAAGGCTCCACGTTTGAAACGCGATTCAACACTTGATAAATTTGTTAGAACTTTAGTGAGATCTCAACAAAATCAAACTATTTATGCTTATGGTTGTTTGGTGCATACACTCGACCTATCTCGCCTTTCGTTCTCTTGTCCTCCTGCTGAATTAAGTCTTTTATCCGAATGTTGTGGTGTTTTGAAGAATATCGATTTTTCAAATTGTCATAAGCTCAGGAATGAAACTTTAACTAGAATTTCTGAACGATGTTCCAATTTACGATCCCTCAAGTTATTAAATCTTCCTCATATTACAGATGAATCAGTTATAAATATTATAAATCGATGTAACCGCTTAGAATATTTTGCATTTGGTGATTGTGTCGGCATTACGAATCGTTCATTACTTCAACTAGCTCGTATGAAACATCTTAATACACTTGAAATATTTTTTGGAAACAATATTACAAATGAAACTCTCATTCTTATAACACAGGGTTGTTTGAAATTGAAAAATTTACATATCTGGGATTGTGGAACTCTTGATGATGTTGCTATCATTCAGGTGGCTATTAATCTGAATATAAATCTCGAATCTCTTATCCTTCATAATCCTCAATATATTACCGACCAATCACTTATTCATGTCGCTAGCAGATGTACAAATCTGCGTCATCTGGGATTAGAACCATGTGAGGGAGTAACCAACACTACTTTAATCGCTTTAGCAAATAATTCATATCTTTTAGAATCCATTCAAATCTCGTTAAATCGAGCTGGTGGTCTTTCAGATGAAGGATTTTTATATTTATCTGAACGCCTGAGAAAGCTTAGTAAGATTACATTTCAACGTTCAACACCACTTGTCACCGATGTTACTTTAAGCATGTTGGCAGTTAGATACGCCACATCACTCACATGTCTTCACCTTTACAATTGCAATTTTACTGATGCATCACTTATTGCAATTGCTCGTAATAGACCACCTATTAATGAATTATGTATTTTTGACTTAATGAAAATTAATGATGATTCGGTCATTTTCTTATTACTCAATATTGCTCGTACACTTACTTCATTACAAATTTCGAATTGTGAAGGTCTTACAGAGAAGATTGTGATTAATGGTGTTAGACATTGTAGCTTACTGAGAAAATTAAGTTTATTTGCATCGAGTGATTTTACTGTTGATGGGTTAGACTCTATCGTTAAGAACTGTGTAGATTTAAGAGAATTTTATTTATCAAGCACCGAAGATATTCCTAATCAGGTTTTATTTTTAACTTTAATTTTATTATTACCATTAGTATATCTTTTAAAACGCTTGTTCTTTTTAAATTAAAAAAAATATTAACCTTTCTTTTATATACTTTTCAAAAAGGTTGTCGCTTCTGAACTTAGTTGTTTGCGAAAATTAGAAAAATTAAGAATTCGTAATTGTTCAAGTTTATCGCGAGAAGATATATTGATTATTTGTTGTGGGTGTGCTTCGTTACAAGAATTTTATTTTGGGCGAAGTATATATTTGAACGAAGAATTTGTTCGCCAGTATAATGAAGACGGAAAGGGGCGACCACTTTTAGTATTAGGGCCTTAACTACTACTACCGAGAGAAAGGTATAGATAGATATTAAGGTCCTAACAGCTAACAAGGAAAAAACCAAAACCAAAACCAAAAACAAAAAAAAAAAAAAAAAAAAAAAAAAAAGCAAAAAAAAAAAAAAAAGGAGAAAAAGAAAAAAACACTGGCTTTTTTTTTTCTTACTATATTTTTTTTTTTAA